AAAATTTTGTGAAAATTGTTTTTATTTAATTATTTATTTGCCTAACATGTGATATTGTAACTGTATAAACATTACAAAGCACAAACCATACCAGGCATACCAATATGTAAAGAAGGAGGCAGACATCTAAAACGTTTTATCTTCTAGGTTTTATTTATTTATCATTTCAAAGTTGAAAACAAAAATATAACATCAAGTGAAAGAATTATTTCTTAATAAAGCTTATTATAACCTTAATGAGTACTAAAAGTAAGTAGTAGTACGTTAGTACTATTATTTATTCTGTGGTAGTAGCGAGTAGGAGATAAAATTGTTCTTAAAAATAATTAAAAAAACATATTAAAATCTTGGGCAAGTTTACTACAAAGGTGTAGCTACTAGCGGAACAAAATCTTGCGGCCACCAATAAAATTTCATGCTAACTCTGAACAGTTGAGAGTTATTTCGGGAAATCGGCTGGACCTGCTCCAAAAGCTGCGCGAAACGTGTGAGTGGACGAAATCGGAAGGCGGTCACCATCCTGGCTGAGTCAATGACATGTGTGAGTAAGACCCACCAAGGAAGATGAGTTTATACAAAATTTGAAATGAAGGCGATTCAGGGAAATTCCTATTTATAATAATTTCCACTATACCCTTCTATTTAAAACCATCGCGCGAAAATATACGTGAGATTCGCGGGAACTGCGTTTTAGTAAACGATAAGCAGAATATATTTATTTACAAGTACCTGGAGCGAGAGGTACAGGTTGCCAACATATAGTGGTCGTCAAAATATACTGGTCGTGTCATACATAAAACAACAATAAGGCTGACAGTTTTTAATTCTGTTTTTAACGGTAAGTAAATACTGCAGACCATGGACACATGCAAGCAACTTCGAACAAGGAAGGCTCCAGATGCGTTGTCACTTCTTAGGATTAAGACATGATGTCTCATAGCGTGTAATTATTATACTAACACGCACTGCTCATCACCATTGGAGCACTTGTTTACTGTTTCCACTAATAGCCCAAGTGCGTAGAGGTTTAATACACAATTATAATAATAATAATACATAATTTATGGAGAAAAACGGGTAAATTGCACCACTTCTACGTATCAAAATCAACTTTAGACCATTATTTAAATATTATACAATAATACAGAAACAGCGATCCGCCGCCAGTCAAGTTCCCGCCAAAACATTGAATTTCAAGGAAATCGTAAAATAACATAGATGAAATTTCAGTCATTTTACTGGCAAAGAGGCATTCCATCTTAGGACCGCCACATACATACGGAATTCCGTTTCGGGATTCCGTTTCGATATTTCGATTCGAGATTCCGAACGCAGCAAGTTCATATAAAATCTGTGACCCGTCACACACGTACGATAGTTTTCCGTTCGAAATTTTACAGGAAAAACGGGATTCCGTATGTGTGTGGCCAACCCGTTCGGAATTCCGAAACGGAATCTCGAAACGGAATTCCGTATGTATGCGTCGAACCTTAGTCCTCACGGGTGACGACGCATCTGTATTTTGATTCTTTATTGAGGATAAATGTGGATGTCTATGGGTCACAGCAACCACTTACCATCAGGTGGACTGTGTGCTCGTTTGTCACTCTATCCTATATAAAAAAAAGAAATAAGTCATCTGCAGATCACGCATGGGAAACGTGAGTGTACCCTATCAATTTAGATACATATAATTGAAAACAAATATAACTTTATGAATTACAAAAGAATTTAAAATCACTTGTTTAAATTGCGTCACTGTTAACGTCATATAATTATTCTTTATATATAGTACTATTATTTATTCTGTGTTATAGGTCAAACAACTTCTTAAAACTCCTGGGTTTAAAATATGGTGAAAACATCAAAATCCATCAAGTAGTTTTTAAATTTGAAAGACTTAGATATGACTTTATTTTAAAGAGACGGAGTAGTACTCAGACAGACTTTTAGGCATAAACCTACCAACCATTTAGTAGCTATATGTAAATCGGGGTAGATATATAATATATATATTTTTAATTTAGACTTAAAATATGTGAGACGAAAACCTATCCTATATACCAATTTATCAAATACCGTCATATTTTTGAAATATTATATAAAATATAAATGGCAAAAATACATGAAATTTCTTTCCTGTGTTTTCCTCAGTGTTAAGAATACACAAAAATTCAAAATTAAAAAGACATTGCAATCGGGTCTTAAAAACATAATTATGTAGTTACTCAATGACTAACTACACTACAGTGAGATGAGTTAAGCCCTGGTTTAGAATCCCAAGCAATATTTGTGTAAAAAAAATGTTGTTAAAGATGTTAAAAATTAATTAGCTAAGATCCGCCTAATAAATTTTTAATTTTATTAAAAAAATATTCCAATAAATAATTTAAATAAAATTTAAAATTAATGCTGTGTTTTAACTAGTTTGAAGAGCACCTCCCGCCCTTCCTCAATTGCGTCCACTATCCACTAATCCCAGCACCACTACTCCGAACACCACTACACTAGGGAAGACATACTACCGTCTACGTGACGGGGATAGTGCTCGCAATTGAGGAGGGGCAGAAAGTGCTCTTCACACTAGGTAAGACACATAATTTTATTTTAATATATTAAGCAAATTTTAAGTTATCTAATTTAAACATTAACTTTAAACATCTTTAATATAATTGATTTCCGCAAAGTAACGCCTGATTCTATACGGTGATGCGTATTCCCTAGCGTAGTGCCAAAACAGCTTTCACGACCGGTTTACTCAGTTGGACCGTGAGGAGGACCCAGGCAATGGGGGATGCCCCGAAGCTCGACACACCTGCTGTGTGCTATTAAGCACACACGCAGACGACAAGGATAGAGTAGTGGTTTTTTTTTATAAGATAAGGGTGACAAACGAGCACAGTCCACCTGATAGTAAGTGGTTACTGTGGTCCATAGACATCTACATCTATCTTCGATTACAAATCAAAATGCAGATGCGTTGTCACCCGTGAGGACTAAGATGGAATGCCTCGTTTCCGGTAAAAAGGGTCTCCAGTTGTCTATGCTCACCAAACGAAACACAGCAGCGTTAAGCTGCTATTTTAGGCTGGTATTCTGTGAGAGCGTGGTCCTTCCACGGTCGAGCCGACCCATTCGTGCTACGACCATAATATAGTTGCAGCATGGCTCTACCACGTATAAGGTGGTGTTGGGATTAGTGTTAACGGGGATAGTGCACGCAATTGAGGGAGGGCGGGAGGTGCTCTTCATACTAGGTAAGGCATATTATTTTATTTTATTGAGCGGATCTTATAGCCAAATGCTCAAAACGCTACTCAACTTTAAGATGTCGTTAAGTCTCGTGGTGACACAGTCACTTTGACTTAAAGTGATATACACTGGGTTTAAGTATTTTGGCATTAGTTAATTATTTTTTAACATCTGTATTAGTCAAAGTAACGCCTGATTCTATTAATTATCAAAAAAAAATGGTTTTTCGTGTTCAGGACACAGAAATACAAGGTATAAAGGAATGTTTATCTCTTTGTGCACTCTTAAAGCTTTTATCAGAAGTATGGAAGAAAAATAATTGGAAAATAATATAGGCGTGGTAAATAAAAACTAAGAAGGCATCTCATTTACTTGTAAATAGTTGTGAACTGCGGACAAAAGCCAACCCTGTTTGGAAAACTGGTCAACCGGTGCATTTGATGTCAACAAACATTATACGCGAAAAAATTCCAGTCGGGTGTCCCTTTTACTATGTCAGGTATCAAACATGTTATTGCGAATGAATTAAATTATTTCCTATTTTCTGTTCTTATTTCATTATTACTTTCTGTGCTGTTTGTCAGTCTTTTGAGTAATTTACATTTTTAATATGTTATAGATTTATACACATTGTATATTATAGAAAACATAAAGATATACATGATAAACAACGAATACTTACATTTTTTGCCGCTATATAATAAAATTTATAAAGAACATGGTGGCAATCTTACATGCATGTAAAACGCAAGCTTGCATTTCATTATAAAATAAAAATAAATGTTTTCATTGCTCAACACACGCTAATAATGGTAGATAAGGCACGCTATTGTACTACCACTATATATGTATGTATTATCCAATCTAAATTGCTGTTTGCATGGAAGACTTCTTCGTCTCTCCTTTATCGGCAGGTATCCGTCACTACTTCATTGTAAAAATTAATTAGTTTTAAAAGACAAACAATAAGACAAATAAGTATGTAATTGTTTTTTATTTAAATAAATTATAAGATTTCGATAATAAAATATTGGATTTTATCGCAATTCTGTGTAGTCTGTAAGAGGAATTTATGATAATAAAAAACTTTAAATAAGTAGCAGATTAAAATACTCGTATTTCGTAAAACAAAACGACCATTGGTATGACGAGAAACGGTAAATCAATGCACATTAGATCATCACAGAAAACTTGTCCTATAGTTTTAAATATATTATGTAGTGAATGTGAGCGCGACATAATATCATCACGAATGATAAGCCGTTTTCAGTTATTATTGAATTTACGTAATTAATACGAATATTTTACTACGAGCTATTAATAAGTTTTAATAGTTTATTACTATGTTTTACTTAATCCAAACTCAATTCAATTAGTTGTAAAATAGTTGGATTTTAAAGGAAAATGCGATGCGAGGAAATGCGACGAGAGGTTTTAAATGCGCATTATTTACTATTATGTTGCCGCTTCACGTATCTGCGTGCGTATTATCTATGCGATTGTGATGTGTAAACAAACATCTGTTTATTGACTTTTGATAAAACTCCTCAAGTAAACATAGGTACGGTACCGTTTAAGATTCGTTATCGAGAGTGTCAAAGCAATTTGACGTAAAACAGTGTGGCCTCAGTGAGGCGAAGCGATTCGTTACACAACGATAAGGGGATTAGGTCGTTCCGCAAAACGTTCGCATTTTTTGTTCCTGTTTTGGATTGTTTCGAGATTAAAATAAACCTGTTATTCTGTACCTGCCCAAAGAATCGTTCCCTCGCGACGGCCATACTCTCTACTCGTGGTGCATCGGTTTCTGTGGTGCTCATGTTTTGTTGCTGCACTGCCTGCGTTGGTGTTGGTCCGTTGGCAGGCACCACCGTTGGTGGAGACTGCGCCAGCGCGGTGGTCGGCGCAGCTCGCTTCGAAGCCTCCTCCGCCACGATTACCACTTTATGCACACCTCCGTCTCCCTTATCACCACCCAACCCGTTAGTCTTTTCACTCGTTGCCTTCGGTTGTGTCTTTTGATTATTTGTTTTTTTAGGCGGTTTGCCCCGGTTAAAGCGGTCGTTGGCGCAGCACTGCACATTACCCATGTCGAGGTGCGAGCATGTCGCGGTTGCTCGGTCGGCGGGAGTTGGCTCGGTCGGTCGATCGTTCGAGGCGCGTCGGCGTCGGCGCCGGCTCGCGGAATGAGCACTTTGTGCGAATCCCCGGCGTCGCGGCGCCCACCCGTCCCGGTATTTTTGACACGAACTTCGGAATCGCGCTGACCACCGATTACGCGGATGCCGTCCACGAAGGATCTCACCCGAAAGCCGGGCCGCGTGCCGGACGCGCTGGCGTCATCGCCCCCCGGCCCCCGCGCCGCAAGGTCAAGGCGCACTCATTGTTCCCTCTGCTGGACGCGCACCGCTTTGCTCTTTGCTTGTGCTCGAACACTGCAGAGCACACAACCACAATACCACTGAAGCAGCACGGCAAGGAGTCAGCGAGCTGTGACTACCGCCGCCTCTATCGATTGCGCTATGTTTACGACTGCAGCTGCCACGGGAACGACGGCGTAACCAACGGCAACGCGATGTTTACAGCCATCATGTATTAAATTAAATTGTAAAACAATGTACATAGCTAGTTAGTAAATTGTTACATGCGGAACACTTTATTGGTGCGTTGATGTAGTCAGATATTATTCAGTTTACATGCCGTTATCGTGCCCGCGGTCGTTCGGAACGTTGATATCGAATTTACATATTTTTGTATGCGTCGAATCGAATTGACTGTGATTTTTTTAATGTTACTAAACCTTAACATTAAAAAAAAATAAAAATAAATATATAATGCAATTTTTGTTATGTTTTATATTATACTTTTTAATCAGGCCATATTCTGAAGAATAAAACAAAAGATATATTTATATTTATATAATATACAATGCTAAATTTTTCAACAACACAATTCAGTAATAATCATAATTGTAACGATGGCCTGGTACATATAGCTTTTAAAATCTCTTAGATAATAATATACGACTATATTTTTTATCTATTTAAGACCGTACACCGCACCTAATATCCTAACTTTTTCATCAACCATTTTCTACTACCTACGTCATAATTGAATTGCATACTTCTTGCTCGTAAATTTGTCACGATACCTATTTTTCAATATACTTTAGCTTTTATTTTAGGACCTAAGATTTTCTTACTTAGTGTACGTATTCAAATTAATAAAAGAATAAATAAGTTTTGCAACGATGTTTACAAATATTAATATCATACGTTACACCTAGTAGATACAACAATGTTCGTCGAAGTAACAATACATTATTAGTTACAAAGATATTATTGAGCCTAAATTACAAGACCTCAAGTTGTGATTATGATGATGCATTAGCATATTCATGCGGCCTGTTTTTGCACAAATTTGAGGTGCGACTAGTTTTGTAGCTAGATTCACTAAGTCAGCTACTCATATATAGTCACTCGCATCAGGGGCTTAGCTACCGCCGTATCAGCCGTATCAATGATACGGGGCCCCCGGGCTATAGGGGCCCCGAACGTGTGTAAGCAAAAATTTTAGGGACAAGAAAGGCTATCACTATTGTCTATAGAAGCAAAGAATTTAGTAAAACTGAAATCGTTTTCAGCTATGAATGCCGTCGAATCGGCTTCAGCTATGTTCGCTGAACAAAAGGCACGAAAAGTGTATTAGTGATTTGAATTGTTTGGCTAGCTTAGTTCCTAAGAGTACTAATTGCAAATAATAACTTATAATCAATATATAATAATTTTAATTCAATGCAAGCATTTTTTGTTCCTTTTATGAAATCTATACTCTTCATTGGGGTCCCCCGTCAAATTTTGATACAGGGCCCATCAAAGGCACGCTACGCCACTGACTCGCATGTCAAAAAATTATTAGCGACTAAAATATAAAATATAACTCAAAGCTGTTTTTATATGTACATGATTTCATATAATATTATATATACATATATTAAATATTTTTATAATATACAATATAGGGTTAATGTATTATTTTGTTTTATATTTATTTACTTTAATATACATTTCTATTTTTTATAACCTTATATACACTTTATTTTATATCAGCTTCACCCGAAGATTGGTACTGGACTGGTAGAGAATGCCTAATTTTAATTTTAGTCCGCCTATATATCATTTAAATCGTATGAAGTTAAATGAATTAACGGCTCCGTGGCGCAGTGGCTTAGCAATCAGTTATTGCGCTGGGGGCCTTGGGTTCGAATCCCGCACGGAACAAGTATTCGGGGCACGGGTCTGGATGTTTGTCCTTGTGCAATTTATGTTTGTAAATTGCCTCCACGACACGAGAAAATCCTAGTGCGGGGGTAACGTTTTTAAAAAAAATAAAAAAGAATAAAAATAAAATAAATATAAAGCATAGTAAAAACTCTTCAAAGTCCTGGTTAATTAATGCTAATGGCTACCTCTGCTTGTGTAGATGTGCCATTAGCATTAATTAACTGTGATCACTTACCATCATCAAGGCTAGCATGGGCAGGAGACAATTTTATCCCCGGGGAAACGAGAAAATGTTTATTCCCTCGCTTAGTTTTATCCACCCTTCGAGAATGGGCACACCGGTGGATATAATATACACAGTAGATAAAATGGGAGATACACTTAGAGTTAGATAGATTTTTTGTATCAATATAAACTTTAAGCCACGTCCAATGAACTAGAATAAAAGTGTCCCTTTCAAATGTCAAAAAAGTATAATTTTTGCATGCCTTAAGCGTAAAGCGCGTAGGTATGTTTTACTAACGCCTAAAAATCAAGATTCCAACGTTTTGTCGCATAAAATCGTATCTAACAATCATATTGAATATATAAATGATATAAAATGCACATTTTCAGAAAGATAAATGATTGTTGAACTTATTTTTTTTAATCGATTAAATGCTATTTTTACATAAAAAGTGGTTTTATTGTCTTATGGCGTAGATTTATCAAGTCCGCATGGAGTGGTATACACGATAACTTTTGCAAATATCAATTGTTTAACTCAATCTATTTTTTAATCTCTTCATCTATCATGTGGGAAGCCATGGAATAAAAATGGCAGTTTAATTTTCTTTTGTTTAGTTATAATTAATTTTATTCGGCGTAGAAATTCGGAAATTTTCAGTGTTTCTGCAGCCTTGTAATAATTTATTTATCTGAATAAGCTGCCTCACTCACTCACTTGGCGTCAACCGCCGTCGTGTGTGAATACTGTATCGGTTTTTGCAGCGGCTTAAAAAGATCTCTGTAAAAATAGAAAATATTCGAAAAACCAAATTTCATACATACTTGATTATTATAATAACCAGAGATTTTTATTACAATATTGTAAAAGCACAGAATAAATAATAGTAGTACATACTAAAAGTAATTAGGATGTATATATTTAAGTATATTTATACTTAAATACGACCTGGACTTTGTAGAGTGACCTGAATGATGATATTATGATCATATGAGCATTATGAGTCGTGCACTTTTGGATTTTCCAAACTTTTTTTTAAATTGAATTTTAACATAAAAATATTGAAAAATTGGAAGTATATATATATATATATGGAAGTAAGTAATAAGGTTCTTAGTGAAAACTTGTGTGTATTTTAGCTGATTTAAAAAAAATACGTATAATCATGTTATACGTAATTTTTTAATGCGCTTAGGGCATGCACAATTGGATTTACCCATATTATCTTTCATTCAGCCCTATGTTACGGACAGGGGATATATGTTTACTCGTTATGTCAAACGAGGATATACTCCTCCCCTTTGCCATGCTTTGGCATAAGGACAAGATAATTGTATCTCTTGTAAGTGGAAATAATCGGGTGATAAATTTTTTGTACCCAACCCATACTAGCCGTGCAGGAGAGATGTATGCTCGTTTGCGTTTCCTACTATACTATAAAAAAATTGAAATTAGGTTTCATTAAATAGTCAATCAATGTCTGGTTTGTATTTTTTATTTCATAAATTCTTATAGACCTTAAATTAAAAACTTTTCGGTATAAGATAGATCGTAGGAATCAAATGCACAGAACAAAATATAAAGTTCGGAATACATTATTTCTTTTAGTAGCACACTCACGTTTCAAGGATGCACGACATTGTCTACCACAATGACTATGTTGGCAATAATATACACGTAAATAGGATGTCAATTAAGTAAGTTTAAATAAACCTAGCAAGCTAACAGCATAGCAAAGTGGCAAAGCAATCAGCTTTGTAGCGGTTTCTAACGGTTGCCGTTGAGCAATCAGTTTCAAAATAGGAGGTTCAGATGCCTGGGTGATCAGTAATCGATTGCTGAAAACAGAATTTGAAAATTCAAAACCGTTCTCGAGATAATCGTGGGACAGACGGACAGACGGACAGACGGACAGACGGACAGACGGACAGACATCGTGAAATCAATAAGTGACTTCGCAAGCTTCGCCACTTAATAATTAATAGTTTGTTACCATAGCACATATAATATGTATAGATAGGTGTCCACTCTAGCTGTCTCTATACTCTAGTCTCTACCCAAGGTAGGCATAATCACTCAATGAGGTCATCATCATCATCATCATCATCGTCATTACAGTCTATTGTAAATCCACGCCTAAGCATAGAACTTCCCCGCAAAGTATGGTGCTGCGCCTACATCCTACATCACTATACCGAGAGGAAGGTCGCCCAATCGAGAACGTTTCTTCCCTTTCGGTTATCGGTGATGCACATTAAGGTTATATAATCCTCTTTCCTAGTTGTTTTAAGACCTAAATAAAACACTAATAATTTCAGAGTCATATTTTACATTTCTGATTGGTTGTTATTTAAAGGGTTGGCATAGTATTCATGTTTTTGTCAGCACAAAAATGTAATCTAGCAACAGAATTAGATAGTCAGCAAACCATGGCTAGCAAAAATTATTAAATCATTTAAATAAAACTAGTTTTTATGGATTTTATTGCGTATATTAAAGGGGTGATCATGTACGTGTCCCGTCACTACATTAGATTTGATAGACAACAAATCCTCGCTAAAGAACACTGATTCCTTCCAAGGATGATTCGCTAGGCTATTGAAATCAAAAAAACATCCTAATTTCAATGGAGAAGATAGTTGGGTGCTACATTCTGCTTGAGATCCTATAATTAATAAAATTAAATCCCAACCCAAATGCAGTTGTAGCAAGACTTAAAAATACTGTAGGTTCAACACCTCAGTCCTCCCGTGACCATGGGTGCTGTAAAGTGCTCGAAACGTCGGGAATATAAAATAAGGTAATATACGCGATAAAATCCGTAAAAACTAGGTTTATTTAAATGTGTAGTGTTCGTGTCAATTTAAGAAATCATTCTTATTAAATCAATCAGCAATTTTTGACATTATGGACGGCTGTAATTTTTTTAGTACAGCATATTAATTATATAAGCTGCAATGAGTGACTCAAGTTTA